CATGAATAACAGAAACATCTTAATGTTTCTGAGATCTGTGAATGTTGTTGTATATTACCTTAAGAAAAACGATTTTGAAATTATATTTTCAAAATATTGAGCTAGGTGTAGCCGGCAGGCAGTACCAAAAATCGTAGTGAGGGTCAGAATGTGACCCTGGCATGTTGTTCTTCCTGGAATTCTAGTGACCCCTACCAGCCTATGTCTGTCCCGTACCTCAGACTATACCCCCCTGCAAAGTTGGGTGAGGGTTGATCCAAGCGTCTGGTTTCCAACCCTGGACAAACAGACATTCTATTTTATAGATATGTATATACCTTTTTTTTATTTATTATGTTCCGCTCGGGGAGCCGGTCGGCCGAGCGGACAGCACACTGGACTTGTGATTCTGTGGTCCCGGGTTCGATCCCGGGCGCCGACGAGAAACGATGGACAGAGTTTCTTTCACCCTATGCCCCTGTTACCTAACAGTAAAATAGGTACCTGGGTGATAGTCAGCTGTCACGGGCTGCTTCCTGGGGGTGGAGGCCTGGTCGAGGTCTGGGCCGCGGGGGACACTAAAGCCCCGAAATCATCTCAAGATAACCTCCTATGTTCAAGAAACCATTCCTTTTCTGTTTTCGGTTGCTGCCTTCTCCCCCACTTATACCTGCTTTGTGATTTTCTCGCTCCCTCCAACATTCATTATTTTACATTTATTTGGGTTGAAATCGAGCAGCTGTCTATCCTAGACAATCTACAGGAATTAGACCGTTCTTGCAACTCGTCCAGATTCTTCCTAGCATTATAAAGTCCTCTCCCGCCATAATTATATTTGTTTTATCATCTACTTGTTTTCACTTTTTCTGCCTACAGGATCGAGCTGTTAGCTCTTGGACCCCGCCTTTCTAACCGTCGGTTGTCTAATAAACTGACTCTCGACCAATTTTTCTCTGTAATACCTAATCCATATTTTTTTTTTTTTTTTTTTTTTTTGAGATATATACAAGTGTTGTTACATTCTTGTACAGCCACTAGTACGCGTAGCGTTTCGGGCAGGTCCCTGGAATACGATCCCCTGCCACGAAGAATCGTTTTTTCATCCAAGTACACATTTTACTGTTGCGTTAAACAGAGGCTACAGATAAGGAATTGCGCCCAGTAAATCCTCCCCGGCCAGGATACGAACCCATGACATAGCGCTCGCGGAACGCCAGGCGAGTGTCTTACCACTACACCACGGAGACTGTTATTATATAATATATATTATAGAGAAATATATCTGTCACACACACACACACACACACACACACACACACACACACACACACACACACACACACACACACACACACACACACACACACACACACACAGACCACTCTTGGAGTATGCGGCCCCAGCATGGAGACCGTATCTTGTCAAGCACAAGACGAAGCTGGAAAAAGTTAAGAGGTATGCCACTAGACTAGTCCCAGAACTAAGAGGGCATGAGTTACGAGGAAAGGCTGCGTGAGATGCACCTCATGACACTGGAAGACAGAAAAATAAGAGGAGACATGATCATCACCTACAAAATTCTCAGAGGAATTGACAGGGTTGATAAGGAGAAACTTTTTAACACGGGTGGTACGCGAACAAGGAGACACAGGTGGAGACTGAGTACCCAAATGAGCCACAGGGAAGTTAGAAAGAACTTTTTCAGTGTCAGAGTAGTTAACAGGTGGAATGCATTAGGCAGTGATGTGGTGGAGGCTGACTCCATACACAGTTTCAAATGTAGATATGATAGAGCCCAGTAGGCTCAGGAATCTGTACACCAGTTGATTCACGGTTGAGAGGCGGGACCAAAGAGCCATTTACTAACTACTCTGACACTGAAAAAGTTCTTTCTAACGTCTCTGTGGCTCATTTGGGTACTCAGCTTCCACCTGTGTCCCCTTGTTCGCGTCCCACCAGTGTTGAATAGTTCATCCTTGTTTACCCGGTCGATTCCCCTGAGGATTTTGTAGGTTGTGATCATGTCCCCCCTTACTCTTCTGTTTTCCAGTGTCGTGAGGTGCATTTCCCGCAGCCTTTCCTCATAACTCATGCCTCTTAGTTCTGGGACTAGTCTAGTAGCATACCTTTGGACTTTTTCCAGCTTCGTCTTGTGCTTGACAAGGTACGGGCTCCATGCTGGGGCCGCATACTCCAGGATTGGTCTTACATATGTGGTGTACAAGATTCTGAATGATTCCTTACACAGGTTCCTGAACGCCGTTCTGATGTTAGCCAGCCTCGCATATGCCGCAGACGTTATTCTCTTTATGTGGGCTTCAGGTGACAGGTTTGGTGTGATATCAACTCCAAGATCTTTCTCTCTGTCTGTTTCATTAAGTACTTCATCTCCTATTCTGTATCCTGTGCCTGGCCTCCTGTTTCCACTGCCTAGTTTCATTACTTTGCATTTACTCGGGTTGAACTTCAACAGCCATTTGTTGGACCATTCACTCAGTCTATCCAGGTCATCTTGTAGCCTCCTACTATCATCCTCTGTTTCAATCCTCCTCATAATTTTTGCATCGTCGGCAAACATTGAGAGGAACGAATCTATACCCTCTGGGAGATCATTTACATATACCAGAAACAGTATAGGTCCAAGGACTGACCCCTGCGGGACTCCACTTGTGACGTCTCGGCAATCTGAGACCTCACCCCTCACACAGACTCGTTGTCTCCTGTTGCTTAGGTACTCCTCTATCCACCGGAGTACCTTCCCTAGTCTTGCGATGTGAAAATACTGTGTGTGTGTGTGTGTGTGTGTGTGTGTGTGTGTGTGTGTGTGTGTGTGTGTGTGTGTGTGTGTGTGTGTGTGTGTGTGTGCGCGCGCGCGCGCCCGCCCGCCCGCCCGCCCGCCCGCCCGCGTGTCGAACAAGACAAGTTGGAGGCATCTGGAAGCTACGGTCATCCGTCGAAAACATCAAGTTTTAAATAATTTAATATTGGGTATTTACTTGGTCTCTTGATGAGTGCACCAACTGGTGTGTGGCGCCAGCTGATGCTGAGGGTAAACTACACGTCGACTAGTGGGCCAGCTGATGCTGAGGGTAAACTACACGTCGACTAGTAGGCCAGCTGATGCTGAGGGTAAACTCTACACGTCGACTAGTAGGCCAGCTGATGCTGAGGGTAAACTCTACACGTCGACTAGTAGGCCAGCTGATGCTGAGGGTAAACACTACACGTAGACTAGTAGGCCAGCTGATGCTGAGGGTAAACTCTACACGTCGACTAGTAGGCCAGCTGATGCTGAGGGTAAACTCTACACGTCGACTAGTAGGCCAGCTGATGCTGAGGGTAAACTCTACACGTCGACTAGTAAGCCAGCTGATGCTGAGGGTAAACTCTACACGTAGACTAGTAAGCCAGCTGATGCTGAGGGTAAACACTACACGTAGACTAGTAGGCCAGCTGATGCTGAGGGTAAACTACACGTAGACTAGTAAGCCAGCTGATGCTGAGGGTAAACTCTACACGTAGACTAGTAAGCCAGCTGATGCTGAGGGTAAACTCTACACGTAGACTAGTAGGCCAGCTGATGCTGAGGGTAAACTCTACACGTCGACTAGTAGGCCAGCTGATGCTGAGGGTAAACTCTACACGTCGACTAGTAGGCCAGCTGATGCTGAGGGTAAACTACACGTCGACTAGTAGGCCAGCTGATGCTGAGGGTAAACTCTACACGTAGACTAGTAGGCCAGCTGATGCTGAGGGTAAACTCTACACGTAGACTAGTAAGCCAGCTGATGCTGAGGGTAAACTCTACACGTAGACTAGTAGGCCAGCTGATGCTGAGGGTAAACTCTACACGTAGACTAGTAAGCCAGCTGATGCTGAGGGTAAACACTACACGTAGACTAGTAGGTCAGCTGATGCTGAGGGTAAACTCTACACGTAGACTAGTAGGCCAGCTGATGCTGAGGGTAAACTCTAAACGTAGACTAGTAGGCCAGCTGATGCTGAGGGTAAACTCTACACGTAGACTAGTAAGCCAGCAGATGCTGAGGGTAAACTTTACACGTAGACTAGTAAGCCAGCTGATGCTGAGGGTAAACTCTACACGTCGACTAGTAGGCCAGCTGATGCTGAGGGTAAACTCTACACGTCGACTAGTAGGCCAGCTGATGCTGAGGGTAAACTCTTCACGTAGACTAGTAGGCCAGCTGATGCTGAGGGTAAACTCTACACGTAGACTAGTAGGCCAGCTGATGCTGAGGGTAAACTCTACACGTAGACTAGTAGGCCAGCTGATGCTGAGGGTAAACTCTACACGTAGACTAGTAGGCCTACCTTGAGGTTACCTTGAGGTGCTTCCGGGGCTTAGCGTCCCCGTGGCCCGGTCGTCGACCAGGCCTCCTGGTTGCTGGACTGATCAACCAGGCTGTTGGACGCGGCTGCTCGCAGCCTGACGTATGAGTCACAGCCTGGTTGATCAGGTATCCTCAGGCCAGCTGACAACACCTCATAATAACTTTGATTATATTAACAGAGGTTAATATACATTGACACGCGGAGTAATTCCCGCGACAGGACTCATTTGGGCAGAAAATATATTTTGTCTCCCTCGTCAGTGACAGTTATGGCTGCATATATTTTTCCCAATATACATATTGTAAAGCTTGCTACTGATTTAGTGTGACTGTAAAGCTTAGCACTGGTCAACTTACAATCTCGACTGTAAAGCTTAGCTCTGGTCGAGATTAGTTCGTAAAGCTTGTAACTTTTCCAAAGGTTCATTTGAAGAGCGTGACAGTGGTCTAGAGTAAGGCTCAGAAGGACTCGTATATCCTCTGAGGAATACAACACTTCCTTGAGAAATAAAAGTACTTATTGGTACTTTTCACCAAATACTTACCGTATGTAGTGATGGACCGCCAGAAACTTGAAATTTGTATTTTCTGAATTTGGACAAACTGGGAACTTTGTTTTAATATGATTACACAGCCCATCCTCCTGTGTAGGTAGTACTTACAGTAACGATGAGGACCATGGTATATATACCGACCTACAACGATATGAGAAAGTAGAAATCTGAACTATTGAGTTGGACAAAGGGGAAAACTATTTTTTACTTGCTTTGCTTTGACAAACTGAACTCACCTACCCTCTCTAGGCCTAATACACCATATACTGAGGCCTAATATAGTACATATATGTGCTATACTAGGCCCAGGAATATTTAAGTTTATTTTTAGCTTCATTTATTTTAAAAATTCGTTACTAGTCAGTATAATACTATCTAAAAGCTAAGTACGTACGAATTCGTGACTATTTACGACCGCCACAATAGTTACTAACTAAACAGGAGGATGAGTTGGGATAATATCCTTGACGATGCGAATTAATTTAAATTATATGACAGAAATAAGGTTAAATATGAAGATCATAACAAATTATTACTTGATCAAAATAGGACATCAATAAATTCTCAAATATATCCAACAAGGGTTAAATAGTTTGAGTTAATTTTAAATACCTTCATGGTCTTTAAAAGTAGAAAGTTACAAGATTTTCTACAGTGCAGATTACAAACTTTTACAAAAATGATCATCTGGTGTATAAAATCAAATATTATTTAATATATAATAAAATTCAAATAATGTCTTCAAAAGAAATTAAACAATAATGAATTCTTTCACTCAAATAAATGGTGCTGTATAACCCTTAATGAAAGCTTCTCTCTCATGAAGGCAAGAAGATAAGTTAACATCGCCTCACACACACACACACACACACACACACACACACACACACACACACACACACACACACACACACATTCTCTCGTATGTGTGTGTGTGTGTTCGAAGCAGGAGGTCAGACGGGTGCGGTTAGCCTCTCACAACTTTCCATGACAAACTTTGAATATATGATAACTGTGAAAGAAAAGGTTTGGGTCGAACCCCATACACCTTTCTTTAAGTATGATTGGCTCCTATTGCGATAGCCCAACCACTTGGGTTGGACGGTAGAGCGACGGTCTCGCTTCATTCAGGTCGTCGTTCAATCCCCGACCGTCCAAGTGGTTCGGCACCATTCCTTTCCCCCCTTCCCCCCGTCTCATCCCAATTCCTATTCCTGATCCGTTTCAAGTGCTATATAGTCTAAATTGCTGGGCGCTTTCTCCTCACAGTTCCCTTCCCTTGTTGCGTCAACAAACAACTGCGCCGTTTGAAATGTGGGTTTGATTGTCTAACAATCTAACAAACAAAACAAAAGGTGTTTAACAAAAATGTTCAGCTTTTATCGACGTTGACTGAACGTCGATAACTTAGATTTAATGTTATCTGAGTATGTTTTGCCCAATAAGAGAGAGAGAATAAAAAAGACGGTGATGATGCTGGGGGAGAGGGAAGGAGAGAGGGGTATGAAGGTGGAGAGGGAGAAACGAGTGAGGAGACTGGGGGGGGGGGTAGATGAGAAAAGGGAAAGTGGGGAAGAAAGGTGGAAAGGATGAAAGGAAAGGTCCTCAGCTAGGTGCAGTAAACAACAGTCAGTAGCGCCAGTCATCAGCTTGGTGCAACAGTCAGTAGTGCCAGTCATCAGCTTGGTGCAACAGTCAGTAGCGCCAGTCATCAGCTTGGTGCAACAGTCAGTAGCGCCAGTCATCACCTTGGGGCAACAGTCAGTAGTGCCAGTCATCACCTTGGTGCAACAGTCAGTAGTGCCAGTCATCAGCTTGGCGCAACAGTCAGTAGTGCCAGTCATCACCTTGGTGCAACAGTCAGTAGTGCCAGTCATCAGCTTGGCGCAACAGTCAGTAGTGCCAGTCATCAGCTTGGTGCAACAGTCAGTAGCGCCAGTCATCAGCTTGGTGCAACAGTCAGTAGTGCCAGTCATCAGCTTGGTGCTACAGTCAGTAGTGCCAGTCATCACCTTGGTGCAACAGTCAGTAGTGGCAGCCATCACCTTGGGGCAACAGTCAGTAGTGGCAGTCATCACCTTGGGGCAACAGTCAGTAGTGGCAGTCATCACCTTGGGGCAACAGTCAGTAGCGCCAGTCATCACCTTGGTGCAACAGTCAGTAGTGGCAGTCATCACCTTGGGGCAACAGTCAGTAGTGGCAGTCATCACCTTGGTGCAACAGTCAGTAGTGGCAGCCATCACCTTGGGGCAACAGTCAGTAGTGGCAGTCATCACCTTGGGGCAACAGTCAGTAGTGCCAGTCATCACCTTGGGGCAACAGTCAGTAGTGCCAGTCATCAGCTTGGTGCAACAGTCAGTAGTGCCAGTCATCAGCCTGGTGCAACAGTCAGTAGTGCCAGTCATCAGCCTGGGGCAACAGTCAGTAGTGCCAGTCATCAGCTTGGTGCAACAGTCAGTAGTGCCAGTCATCAGCTTGGTGCAACAGTCAGTAGTGCCAGTCATCAGCCTGGTGCAACAGTCAGTAGCGCCAGTCATCACCTTGGGGCAACAGTCAGTAGCGCCAGTCATCACCTTGGGGCAACAGTCAGTAGCGCCAGTCATCACCTTGGGGCAACAGTCAGTAGTGCCAGTCATCACCTTGGGGCAACAGTCAGTAGTGCCAGTCATCAGCCTGGTGCAACAGTCAGTAGTGCCAGTCATCAGCCTGGGGCAACAGTCAGTAGTGCCAGTCATCAGCTTGGTGCAACAGTCAGTAGTGCCAGTCATCAGCTTGGTGCAACAGTCAGTAGTGCCAGTCATCAGCTTGGTGCAACAGTCAGTAGTGCCAGTCATCAGCCTGGGGCAACAGTCAGTAGCGCCAGTCATCACCTTGGTGCAACAGTCAGTAGTGCCAGTCATCAGCTTGGCGCAACAGTCAGTAGTGCCAGTCATCACCTTGGTGCAACAGTCAGTAGTGCCAGTCATCAGCTTGGTGCAACAGTCAGTAGTGCCAGGTAGGGCCAGTCATCAGCAGTCCGTCAGCGGGCCGCGGCTCCTCGCCCCATCCACTGTCATTTAAATGAAATTCAGGATTACGGTTTTCCAGGCGGGATATTCCGGCGAGGTACGCGCCACTGATTCATATTCACTGTGAGAGTGAACAGTGATTAGTGTATTCTGGCACCACCAGGGGCGGCACTGCTGCTGCTCCGGCTCCGGATCGTGCTGCTGCTGCTGCTCAGGCTCTTGCTGCTGCTGCTCAGGCTCTTGCTGCTGCTGCAGCTGCTCAGGCTCTTGCTGCTGCTGCTGCAGCTGCTCAGGCTCTTGCTGCTGCAGCTGCTCAGGCTCTTACTGCTGCTGCTGCAGCTGCTCAGGCTCTTACTGCTGCTGCTGCAGCTACTCAGGCTCTTACTGCTGCTGCAGCTGCTCAGGCTCTTACTGCTGCTGCTGCTTCCAAACTTTCTACTCTTTCTCCATATATTACTGCTGCTTCCACTTCAGTTTCTGTTGCTGCTGCCAGTTCTGTTCCATTTGCACACTTACTTATTTTATTTATATATACAAGAGTTGTTACATTCTTGTACAGCCACCAGCACGCTTAGCGTTTCGGGCAGGTCCTTAATCCTGTGTTCCCCGGAGTACGACCCTGCCAAACAGTTTACCAACCAGGTACGCATTCACTGCTGGGTGAACAGAGGCTACAGTTAAGGATTGGTGCCCAGTCAATCCTACCCAGCCAGGATACGAACCCAGGCCAAAGCACTCGGGAAGCGCCGGGCGAGTGCTTTACCACTGCGCCACGGGGAGCAATGAATGTTGCGCGTAGGAGAATAATAGTCGTGGCTTCTGTGGCATATTTACAAAAACATAAAATTCTATACAGAGATGTAGACAATATGGCTAGTATGGCTAGCCATATTTTAGCTAGAATATGGCTAGTATGACAGTGCCGGACACTGTCATACTAGCCAGTGTGTGGGGTCACTGTTGGAGGAATATGGTGAGTTGTGGTGCAGTCTCTCCCCCCCCCACCGCCAGGTCACACAGGTGGTGCAGTGTCCTCCCACCGCCAGGTCACACAGGTGGTGCAGTGTCCTCCCACCGCCAGGTCACACAGGTGGTGCAGTGTCCCCCCCACCACCGCCAGGTCACACAGGTGGTGCAGTGTTCCCCCGCCAGGTCACACAGGTGGTGCAGTGTTCCCCGCCAGGTCACACAGGTGGGGCAGTGTCCCCCCCACCGCCAGGTCACACAGGTGGTGCAGTGTCCTCCCACCGCCAGGTCACACAGGTGGTGCAGTGTCCCCCCCCCCACCACCGCCAGGTCACACAGGTGGTGCAGTGTCCCCCCCCCACCACCGCCAGGTCACACAGGTGGGGCAGTGTCCCCCCCACCGCCAGGTCACACAGGTGGGGCAGTGTCCCCCCCACCGCCAGGTCACACAGGTGGGGCAGTGTCCCCCCCACCGCCAGGTCACACAGGTGGGGCAGTGTCCCCCCCCCACCACCGCCAGGTCACACAGGTGGGGCAGTGTCCCCCCCACCGCCAGGTCACACAGGTGGGGCAGTGTCCCCCCCACCGCCAGGTCACACAGGTGGGGCAGTGTCCCCCCCACCGCCAGGTCACACAGGTGGGGCAGTGTCCCCCCCACCGCCAGGTCACACAGGTGGGGCAGTGTCCCCCCCACCGCCAGGTCACACAGGTGGGGCAGTGTCCCCCCCACCGCCAGGTCACACAGGTGGGGCAGTGTCCCCCCCACCGCCAGGTCACACAGGTGGGGCAGTGTCCCCCCCACCGCCAGGTCACACAGGTGGGGCAGTGTCCCCCCCACCGCCAGGTCACACAGGTGGGGCAGTGTCCCCCCCCCCGCCAGGTCACACAGGTGGGGCTGTGTCCCCCCCACCGCCAGGTCACACAGGTGGAGCAGTGTCCCCCCCACCGCCAGGTCACACAGGTGGGGCAGTGTCCCCCCCCCCCCACCGCCAGGTCACACAGGTGGGGCAGTGTCCCCCCCCCCCCACCGCCAGGTCACACAAGTGGGGCAGTGTCCCCCCCCACCGCCAGGTCACACAGGTGGGGCAGTGTCCCCCCCCCCACCGCCAGGTCACACAGGTGGGGCAGTGTCACCCCCCCC